CATTTTATGAGATTTTATAAAGAGTCGTAAGTCCGAGGTCGTTAAACAGGCAAGTCGTTAAGTGAGGAGAAGCTGCGTACGCTTCTTTGAATAAATATTATTGAAGTGTCAGAGAAAAATAAAATATATTCTGAATTTCTTTTTTTTTCTTTCTACGTGTTTCTGTTCGCCTTTCAGGAACCTCTATCGACCTCTCTTGCAGTTTCGGAAAGTGAAACTAAAATAAACAGTTGTGCAAACCTACTGGCCGACTGTTTGTCTGCTACACAATGTCATAATTTTAGCACTTACCAATTCCTTGATGCTGCTACAGCGAATCTTGTCTAACTACTGCAACTTTTAACTATTCTTTGTATTCCGACTCCTCAATTTACTGTCTCTCGCGTACCTACTTCTTCCATCTTTTTTTTTTCCTTTTCTCCTGCTTCTGTCTTCCTGTCTATATTGGTTCCACCGGAATAGGATTGCCCGAGGTCGCATCAGATCGTTGTTTTCTTGTTTCCGTTCAGCTTTGTAAAAGGTTCTTGCCTACCTCCTGATTCTGGTAGACATTTACTTAGAACATTCAATAGGTTTTCGCATTTCGTTTTTATGTTCTTTTTTTTTTATTGCAATATTACTTTCTCATTTCTTTCTGGCTTACGGCCACATCACGTTAAATCGCCGGGCCCAGTACGTTCACCGAGGTTTAAGCAACGTCGAGCCTGGTCAGTACATCTATGGGTGATCTCTTGGTAATACCAGGTACCAGGGGAATCCGTAAATAATGGAACCAATATAATGGATACTGAACCGTTACGTGAGATCTGTCCTTCTTTACGGCAGCGAATGTTGTAGGATTTCCTCAAGGATGAATAAGAGACTCGAGACGATGGATGCTGAGGATTTCGTGGAGCGAGCCAGTGAGCAACGATAAGGTCTTGGAGAGGATGCAGATAAGAAGGGTGCTCATGCTTAACATCAGGAAGAGGCAGATGAAGTTTCTGGGACACATAATGAGGAAAGAGGGCCTTGAGAATCTGATACTCACGAGTCGGATAGAAGAAAAAGAGACAAGGGAAATCAGTGCGTGACATTCCTGGCAGGCTTGAGCAGGTGAATGACAGAACGTAGTCTGGGGGAGATAGCAGAGGGAAGGAACTTGTTGAGAGCTGCAAGGGATAGAGAGAGGTGGAGAGCCATGATCGCCTACGTCCTAAAAGAACATGGCACATAGAAAGAAGAAAGATACATTAAGCAAGTGGATGACAGAACGTGGTCTGGGGGAGGAAGCAGAGGGAAGGAACTTGTTGAGAGCTGCAAGGGATAGAGGGAGGTGGAGAGCCATGATCGCCTACGTCCTGAAAGGACATGGCAAATAAAAAGAAGAAAGATACATTAAGCAAGTGGATGACAGAACGTGGTCTGGGGGAGGAAGCAAAGGGAAGGAATTTGTTGAGAGCTGCAAGGGATAGAGGGAGGTAGAAAGCCATGATCGCCTACGTCCTGAAAGGACATGGCGCATATAGAAAGATAATGGAAAAATTATTTGATAATGGAAAAATTATGATGTATATTCTGGTCTCGCCGGAACAATATCCCGCCTTCCATTCATTTGTGAACATAAACCGGGCCTTTCTCAGTGCTTGTCCACACCGACGCAAACGGAAAGCGGAACACATCGCGGGCTGAAGCTGTCTAGTCAGCGAAAGACTGCGGAAGACTCGCAGCTGTATGTTTACAATTGTTTCATTTTATTACCCCTGCCGTTAGAATTTTCTGTATCATGTCATGTAATCATTAGAACGGATGGAAGTTTTGAAGTAGTTGTTTTCGCAAATCCTTCTCAAGATAACCCGAGTTACAAGAAAAGCTTCTTTAAGAATCTTTACGACACTTTTATTTTATTTTTTAAGATGTAAATTTAAAACCTTAAAATGTTTCTTTCTTTTTAACTACTTTTTTGGCCCAATCTTCCTTTGAAAAGTTTAGATTCCTTTGATGTCGATACCCAGTATCCTGTGATCCCTCTCTCAAGAACGCACACTCAACACTATAAATGTCATTTGAAAGTAGCTTATTAACTATTAACTACGTTCGGTATCATGAAAGGTTCGCGCAATTCCACAGATTCCTACTTCGTTTATAGGAGCGTTCGTTTCTTTTTAAGGTGTAAAAAATATATTGCATCGTTTTTTTTTTTGTTTTTTTTTTTCAAATCTAAGTGTGTAGAGCCCAAAACATTTTTTTTTTGAATACGCAACAGAAATGTTATACTACTCATATTGTTAGGGCTGTTGTTCTCATCTTTACTGTCATTCACGACGTTTCGGCCGTTGTACGCACCGGCATTCTTCAATTTCGAACCGAAACATTTATTTAGTCCACAGGGGTAGATTGTTCTAAATAAAAGGTTCGGCCCGAAATTCCAACAAATATCACCTGAAGAAGGCAAAAGCGTACAACGACCGAAAAGTCGTGTATGTGATAGTAAAGATGAGAACAACAGTCCGAACAATGTAAATAGCTACAATATCCCACTTCAAAAATATAGACAGATCTAAGAGAAATATATCATGATAAAATGTTATCAGTAGATGAATTATTTTTGCTTTCTGAAAACAGGTTTAAAGAACATGAAATCGTTTTTCTATTATCATCAAATTTAAGAAAAAAAATGAAAACAATATACATCTCGACAGGAATCGAACCTGCATTTTCTTTAATCTAGCAACCTTTAGTAATGAAACACTCCTAACTTAAAGATGGACTTCCAGATTAAAGGATATGTTTCGTGTCGAGAGGCAGTTTGTTTCATGAGACTTTCGGTCTCAGTCCGGTTGAGTTCATTGCACTGCCTTACGTACAACTACGCTTAGGAAATGTATGAACCGTCTATTCTCTCCCACCTATGGGTTAAATAGTAGGACTATCATTCAGAAATATCATTGTTATCCTCAACAAAATTATTACTACAATATTCAACGAGACAAAAAAGGTTTATTTTTACAATTCAATCAATATGTTTCGGTTTAAATAACACACAAAGGGTTAATAATCCATAAAAAATCAAGCAAGCAACAAATTAATCGATATTGAGGTCGGTAGATATTAATTTATACTGTGGATGGCTTCTCAAACTTGGATACACATTAAGCATAACGTTTATAGTAATATATACATATTACTTCCAACGTTATTTTTCGTGGATACCTCTGTTAGAAGTAGGCCCAAACCCCACCCATTTTTTAAAAAAATTTAAATAGTGTATATTACGTTTACCGGTCTTCGAACTAAATAAAACTTCATAAAAAAAGGTTTTGCTTTCTCGGAGGGAAAACTGGCATTTGACCCGACGTGCTTTAGGCGGCTCGGACACAGAGAACGTCAAGACCTAGCAAGGTTCTATTTACCCACTTAAGAAATGCACATTTTTGTGTTCAGCTTTTCTCGAGAGCCCATATTTGCTCAATTTCTTATACGAAACGCAAACAAAGCAATTTATAAAGAAGTAATGGATTTATTGTTAATCCATTTAACATATATATATATATATATATATATATATATATATATATATATAGGCATAGAAATGTAAAAGAAAGACTAAAAACGTCCGCGCCTAAAAGTTATAGGCAACAAAAAAGTGCTCAATTCAAAATCGAATATGTAGAGCTAAGTTATTTAAAAAATGGCTAAAATGCCAACAAACCTCGCAATCTTACGCCGGAGGAGACCTTAAGGTCGAAACCCGGGCTGGCATTTTAAACTTTTCTGATATATATATATATCTCAAAGTATAGGATTGGTGTATACGGAATATATTCCAATAAACAAAAAATACTATTCTTAAAAGAGTGCTCAACGCAGAGTATGTAAATATGTCTACATGTTTGTGTATTATAATCTGATTGTGTATGTATTGTCTTTTGCAAGATTTCACCTTTCCCTGCCCGTATCATCACTTCAAATGTATCTAAGTTGTAACGAAGCTCAGAGCAACATTAGATTTTAACGTTTATTCCAACTTAATTTTTGACCTTTCAATAGAAACAACATAAATAACAAAACATATGCATTTTTCCTCGGTTTCTTCTTTAAATAATTTTATAATTTTTTAAACTTAATACAGATTAAATTTAAAATTGGTCATTTTTAATTTTATAGTAAAGTTTAATAACAATTAGTTATAATGAATTCTATTTTAGTCTAACCCTAACATTAAAGCATTAATTAATTATTACAGTGTAACCCGGATATAAGAGACCCGGATATAAGAGAAATTTTCTCTGGTCCCAAATTAGAGCCTGTGTTAATGTATATAAAATAGACTAAATCCGGATATAAGAGAAACCCGGATATAAGAGACTTCTTTTCCTGTCCCGACAACTCTCTTATATCCGGGTTACACTGTATAAACAAAGTTCGTTGTCAAGTTTTTTGAATTCTCATATACTTGTATTTTGATTGGTCATTCCAGCTTATGTAACAGCGTTTCCCCTAGGGAGGGGTGTTTGGTCGATTTGAACCGTTTAAAACCCATTATTCTACATTCAACACCACTACATGATAAGACACCAAACGTGTTGAAACAAAATGACTATTTTGGTCGTAACATATTTATGTCATAATATTCGAATAAATAATTATATATATATATATATAAACTTAGTTTCATCTGACACAAGGCTAATAGCGTGGGACAATTTTTGATTCAAATTAATTCCATAGCTCTGTAGCTGGTACATTTGTCGTTTTTAGGGGCTACAATATTTTGCACTCAAAAATGGTCTATCATAGCAATAGTGCGTGAGATTTGCTTGTTAACCATCACTTTATACCTTCCATCTGTATATCGCTATTTAATTAAAATAGCTTAGTCGGGCACAACGTCAGGGTCGAGCATCAATGTAACCTCCAGTAGTTCGGTAACCTTACTCAATAACTTTTATGTAGAAAAAAATTCACTTGTGATTTTATATTTAATAATTTCCGTAAATATTAAAATGTTTGTTTTGTAGCTTGCAATTACTGAAAGCCTTTTTTTTTCTTCTTCTTCTACCTTTGCAGGACAGTTCGTGTTTGGCCTTACTGCTATTGATTCAGACATTGGGCCCAACGGCAAACTCATTTACTCATTGTCCGGTCCTGACAAAAGCAGATTCATAATCAATTCGACCACTGGTGTTGTTAAGGCCAATCAGAACCTTTACAGAATGACTGGAAGCCAATTTACAGTTTATGTCACAGCATCTGATCAAGTAAGTCAGTCTTAATTTAATCACCTCTGCAATATCGTATACAAACAAACCTTTGTTACAGGTGCTACCACTTCATGCAAGAGACAGGTGGAGATGTCCTCAGGCTTGCACTAAGGTGGAAAGTGAAGTTTGCATTAGTGCAGTAACTCTTTTAAACAACAGGTTTACGTCCTGTGGCCCAGCTAGGTTCGATATTGATAGAAAGATGTCAAGGTCACATTCATTTTTTTTATGTTGGAGTTTCCTTCTTCAGATCATATTTAACTTACTATTTAAAATAGTTCCAGTTGTATTCATTTGACTAGAATTGTTCTATATAGCTTTACCAAATTGACCAAACACTGGCTTAATAAAGCTCTTAGTTGACGGGGAGATCTATACGAATATATTTTTTATAGTTTGAATCGAAGGTTTTAATTTTTGACTCATGTTTATTGTCTTTTTATCACAACCTTCTTCTTAATTAACCCTTGGGAGATGACAGGGTCGATATATCGGCCGAAAATTCGAAAGAGGAAGAAGACGAATGGGCCTATCCGTCGTCCCGATAATACAACCTTCGAGATTAGCTGCCTGGTCATCGTACAAGACAGATTGATTCTTGCATTTCTTGCACATCTGGAACTTTCAATGGAAGTTTCTATGATAGTTTGCTGTGTTCCATGATTTTACATCGATTTTTTGTGTTCCAAGTGAGGCCACGAGAAAAGGGCTCCGTCTTGGCACTGAGACTCCAAATGAAGCCTCGTCTCCAAAGTAGCATCAAGGAGTAATATAGGAATAATTTATGTTAAGATTTGTACAGTGTAACCCGGATATAAGAGAAACCCGGATATAAGAGAAATTTTCTCTGGTCCCAAATTAGAGCCTGTGTTAATGTATATAAAATAGACCAAATCCGGATATAAGAGAAACCCGGATATAAGAGACTTCTTCTCCGGTCCCGACAACTCTTTTATATCCGGGTTACACTGTACATGCATTCCCGGATCTCATCTTTCAAGGACGATGCCTAAATCAGTTCAGTTACGGAAGCGTCGCTGGTTGATAAAGCACATATTTGCAGTTATATTGCCACATTATTTAGTACTTCTCAGTTAACGGTCGCCCTGTTTTAGCAGAGACTAAATCTGCATGGTAAACAGCGGTAAGAAAAGTGAGGTTCGGTTAATGCAGTCAAGCTTAACAAGCAGTAGCCGTCTCAGTTGCAGTCAGATTAAGACTTAAGGCTCCAAGTTCTAAAAATTAAATTCGTGTGTTCGAGAATTTGGTGACGTGTTAAATTCAAATTCAATCCCTGGGTTAGGTATTACATTATAAACAGGGTGAACTGAGCACTACTAAATAAGAGTGAGACGAGATACCCCTAGACATGGACATCAGAATGCGAAGAGTTTGTTTACCTCCATGGATTAAAGAGTTCAGTTTGAGATTTCTTGGAAGTTACCCGGATCTACAAGAACCTGATGAAAGCTGGATGTCACAACAGCAAAAAGATTATAATAATAATAATAATAATAATAATAACTCCGATTACAAATAACTAGCAGTATAACCCGTCTTCGACCGGGTGTTTCATTACTGGAAAATCTTGCCGTTCAATTGGAGCAGTTTAAGTTGAAAATCAGCCCACCCGAAAATCAATATTAGTAATAATAATTGGGTGCAACTAAGACTTCAAATGGAGGGCTAACAATTTGAATGGTGGGATGGCTCTGAAAAGGGCCGTTTTTGCGGTCACAATTTTGCAAGGAAGGGGCCTCTTCCATGAACTTTCATAATAATAATATACGGTAATTTTTATTAATAATATAATTTTTTTTATAATTCTAATAATCTTTTGCGTTAGATTTCAACTCTGTTTTTTACAGACATTAAATTTTGCCTTTGATTTTTGCGCAAATTGTCAACAATCAGTTTTTTTGATTTTTCACCTTCAAGGTTGTAATTTTTTCCAGCCAATTTGAACTCAAAACCAACACTGAAGAATTATCTATCAAACAGAAAAACTCGAATTCGGATGATCCAATTACACACACACACACACACACACACACACTTTTAAATTATTGATATATAAATATGTAAATAACTCCTCATCTTTGCACTGAACAAGAAGGTTAATTTGATGTTTGTATATATTTCTGTCAGTTATCAGAGATTGTCTTTACTTTATGGTCATTTATTTACAGTTCACACAATTATGACTAAAGCCAGTGACTCCTTGTAGTTACTTGAAAGATGTTGAAAATATGACGCCCACTAACTAAATATAAAGGGAAAACTATTTTAAATAATGTTTGAAAAACATGCGATCCTCACGGAGGGTTAAAACAGTAATTAGCTACTAGTACTGATGCATATCAACAACCAGAAGATATTTCCTGGGTAAAATAAAGCAATTTGCTAATTAAAATGACTTTATTTCAAAGGTAAATTATAGGTAGGAATCAATAGTACTTTCTTTTGATCTTTGCCGATAATTTACAGTTTTTCTCATCTGGAAAATTCTGGAATTGTCTTTACTAACATAAAATATATATAAACATAGATAGGGTTTTTCATGGCTTCTCTTTGATTGGTTTGAAATGATTACTGTTCAAAGACTTCTTGTCATTTGGCAGTGAAGGGCAAGAATTTTGTTGGCAGTATTCCGCCACTCTAAAAACTTACAGGAATTGAGTATTTTGGTTTGGAGTGAATTTTTCATTTAGGTATTCGCTTTCTCTTGCTGACTTTGCTCATAAAATAAATCTCAAGTTCACTTACTGTTTCCATCATCAATTGCAGAGTTTTGTTTACACACACACACACACACACACATATATATATATATATATATATATATATATATATATATATATATATATATTTTGCCGGCTGGTTATTTTGTGGAATGGTTGGTTGTAAGCATTGAATAACCCCAGTCTTATTGCAACATCAGCAATTATATGCACAAAATGTGAACATGATAATGTTTTTTTTTTTTTTGGGGGAGTTGTTTTTGAGATACAGTAACAGCGAGTTAGAATTTCGGCCGAGGTCATTGCGTTCACTTTTACACTTCTTCCGGCTAAATAATAACACATACTGGGTTTTCGAGCATTGTTTGGTAACCAGTCTCGAGTAGAGTGTTGCGTTAGCATCTCCACCTCGTAAAAGTCATACAACAGCAACACTAGCGTAGCGAGGCGGTAGCCATATAACCTATAGAGATTGAGAGGGATCTCTCTCTCTCTCTCTCCAGGAACCCTGTATATATATATATATATATATATATATATATATATATATAATTAATACAAGTAAAAGGTGTGTCACTTAGCTGTAGAGGGACCTTCCGGAAATCACTCCGTCCACTTGTCGGGCGGGGGGCGGTATCAGCATTTGAATGGTTATACTTCTCGATTTTTTCTCTTTTTTTTAAATGCACTTTTTATTGGTGCAAGCTTTTTTTTCTTTTTCATAGTGTTTATGCGTTCACGCATATAATGGTAGGAATGCAAAGTTTGCGTATATAATTTTGACTAAAATCTACCACCAACCCCGAAACGAAATGATATGAGGCCAAATTAAGAAGAGAGAACCTATTGTCAGCTGTTAATACGCACTCTGCTTTTATGAATATCGTTGACAATATCTTCACCAAAGGACATACAGCAAAGCGTGTTCGATTTCCTTCGAGCACAAATCGACAGTAAACGTATACTCAGCATAGAAGTTGTGTCTTTACACACAATCCACAATACTAACAAAACCATCGGCATGGCCTACGACATCAAGAGGAAGCCGGACAGCAGAATCGGGTCTTCATTAATTCCCCCAGACCAAAATTGCAACGGCCCCAGCAATATCCATACGTAAGATGACCGCTGAGCAAAAACTCAACCCCAAGCTACCAATGACGATATCAATTAAATTCTGGAAGAGTACAAGAATATGCCCAGGCACCTAAAGAATCATAGGTCCACTGTTGAAATATTCTGACAATGAAAAACTGTCAACGGTTGATGTCAAGGGTAACATTAAAATCAAGAATATAGCCCAGATAGTATTCTGTCACCGATCGAAAAAAACAAAAAAACACACACACAAAAAACGACAAGCGTATTCCTCTACAATCTTGGAGGAAAGGTGGATCTGATGTTTTATTACAAGTTTATAAAATACCAAATTCAAAACTATCTTAAAAAAAATAAATTATGAAACAGTGACCACTGCCCACAAAAAGAGACTGAGGCAGCCTACGGAGAACGAGTGTAAGGAAGGATTGTTCACCTCCCACTTACGTCTCATTTCGGCTTTGCTCATCTATAGCAGTAGGTTATAACCTGAGAATAAAATCTGGTTTACTGCTAGAAATTGACATGGTTTTCATTCGTGGGTAACAAGCGTTTGGCTGGAAGAAACTGCACCATGTCAACAAACCTGGTGCCTGGTCCGAGCTGCAACTCTACAATTGGGTTTCCTTGTGAAATCTACTTCAGCTCTCTCCTCCTAACGTCTCCGTCTGAACTCTGCAATTTTATTCACTATTTATTTAATTTTAATTTTCTCCCCTCCACCAGTAGGAGTAGATAGGTCCGCCTATTGTCAAGGTTCATCCCACCCTCGATCCTTTAAAATGGAGTAGAGGTTTATTCCTTGTTTAGTACTGGATTTCCGGTTCCTTCCAAAATCTGCTTCAACCCTATACTCACAATGATTCTTCTTTGCTACGCTTGTATACGTCCACATATTAACCCTCTACCTTGAGTGGCTCTTGGGCCTTGTATTGAGTGAACATTAGTAAAAAAAAAAAAAAAACATAGAGTTTTAATCATAACTTTTCGTGTCAGTAGTGTCTAATACTCCTCCAAAAACTCGAAAAGCTGTACTACGCCATATTTATCCGATCAAAATGCATGCGTAAATAAATTATGTAAAAAAAAAAAAAGTTTTCTGTTTTAATGCAGAGTACACTTATTATTTATTTATTTCAATATTTATATATTAATCGT